CCCTGCGGCTACATATACAGCTGGGGACCAAGCCTTGTAGCACCGCTAGCGCAAAAACAACGAAATAAGAGCGCCCTCCGGAGGCTAAGCCATTGGTCCTGGGAGAGGCGGCTTTGCCCGTGGCGGGCTGCCGGATTCCCGGATAGCGCGCCGCGGGCGCTCGAGGCAGTTGGCGCTCACTGAGTCGTTGTTGGCACAGCTCGTTGCGTGACGGTTTGCAGCACGCTGCGCCCGCCGCCGCCGCCGCGCGGGAGACGCCGGCGTTTCTGCCCCAAAGACACCGCTGGCGGCGCCACCACCGCCGCGCCTCCCGTAATGCGACGTTTTTTTTTTTTTTTATGTTGATTGTGTATTTTGTTTGTTGTGTACAAAACGATACGAACTTGTTATGATACTATCCGACTAACTATGTATTGTATGTTTGTCCGGAACAGCACGGCTCAGGGTCAGAAACAAATAAAGGGAGTTATCTCTCCGCTTCGCCGGACAACTCAGGGCTTGCAAAGCCAAAAACGAGCGAAGTTATTTTGATGCAACATTTTTGGAGGACGTTGGAAGGTTTTACACTCACACATACACACACACACAATATGTGTCATGTGGTGAGTGGATAACCAGGGGGGTGTGTGTGTATTACTGTATATAATATGCTTGTTTGAAGGTGACTGTTCGGTTTGTTAACTTCGCGGTATGAGGGCCGACAAACACTGACCCATCCATCACATTTCTCTTCTAAATTTGGCCTTTGTTCTATTCGGGAGAGATTTCGTGTGGAATTTTGGACAGAGTCATCCTTTCGCTGTATTCCCGTGGTTTAAGACAGGTGTTCGCCCTCAAACCATCCAATTAGGGGGAGATAGGCTACATTATATTTTTATATATTATTATTATTATTTATTTTGTTATGTTATTTTAGTTATGTTATGTATGTTATGTTATTCGTTATTATGTTATGTATATTTTTATTATTATGTATCATTGGTTATCATGTTTAATTTAATTGTTAGTAGGGGGACTGATGAGGTGAAGGGATAGGATGAGGGATTGATGATGGTAGGAGGTGCTGGATGGGGTAGTGGAGGGTGATATAGGTGAGGCTTTTGGAACCACCTCAGCATTCGCGCTGTCGATGCACCGAGAGAGAAACCGCGGAAAAAAACCCCGGAGTCAGACATAACACGGGCCGGGCGATTCGAAACTTCGACGTATTTTTGGCCCCTGCCGAGTTGTAAATATCGGCCCCCGCAATCATTACCTGATCCGAAACAAGGACCGCAGGATGAGAATAAGAGAGAGGAGAAGTAAAAGAGTACAAAATACGTCGAAAGAGGAATGAAATGGGAGTAGACAGACGAAAGTGACAGTGGAGAGGAGGGGAGGAAAATGCCGACGAGAATGTAGGGGAGAGAGAGAGGGAGGGAGAGGAGAGAGAGAAAGGAGAGGAGAAGGAGAGGGGAAGATACGAATATTGGAAGCAAGAAAGGAGTAGAGGAGATGCACAGAGAGTGAGGATGAGCGCAAGAAGAACCGAGGACCAGGAGGACAGGTGTACGAGAACAAAGAAACCGCGGATAGGATTTGGAGCGGTCGAGGAGAGGAGGTGAGTAAGAGAAGTCATTGCCGGTATCGGTAACTGAATTGAGAGGAGGAGGTAATTGAGAGATGGACGAGCAGGACGGCGGTAAGGCTGCTAAGAAACTGAGCGAGGGGAGAAAAAGGAGGTAAGGATCAACAGAGAACCCAGTTCGTGGAATAGGTTAGGGAATGAGTGTGATGGAGTGAAAAGGAAGACGGAGTCAGGAGTAGGTAAGGAGGAGGTGCAGGAATGAGGACGGGAGCTAGCGTAAGAGGAGTAGAAGCAGGTATGCGAGGGAGTGATCTACATCGGGATGATATATACTAAATCTACGGATGGGAGATAGGAAGGATGGAGCTGAGATTACGATCGTAGGGGAGTGTATAGAAATAAGTTGCAGGAGGCGTGTAGACCGAAACGCCAGCGGGCGTCCTGAAGGAATGTAGTGAGTAGACTATGTCAACCCTCGAGAAGATGAGTGTCTAAGGGTGTATGTATTAGTCGTAAAGGGAGAGAAAGTACTGAAATTCGAGGTTCAAGTTAGATGAGAGGAGAGGTGTAAAGATTGTTAGGGAGAGATGAGAGAGGGAGCTGCATCGAAAAGAAAATACGACGGTTGTTTGCTGATTGAGCTCCCATGGCTTGGTTGCGAAGGAAAGGAGGACGCTCAAGTTGAGAGGAAGGACACTGTGCACTTCGAGACGGAAGAGATGGGAATTATATGGAAGCGAGAAGGAGCAATTGTGATATGGTGTGAGGCTGGAGGAGGAGCCGAGAAGTGTCGACTGGGAGATAGGAGCAGTGAGTGAGCATGGAACTAGCATGTTAGGAGACCAACGTCGGGTCCCAGCGGAGGCTAGCCATTGGTCCTGGAGGCGGCTTTGCCCAGTGGCGGGCTGCGATCCCGATAGCGCGCCGCGGCGCTCGAGGCAGTTGGCGCTGGTCGTTGGCGTGACGGGTTGCAGCGCTGGCGCCGCGCCGCGCCGCGGGAGACGCCGTTTCTGCCCCAAAGACCGCGGCGGCGCCACCACCGCCGCCTCCGTAATGCGACCGTGTACCGTTAACGTGTACTTCCGACTAACGTGTAGTTGTCCGGAACAGCACGCTCGGTCGAAGGTATCTCTCCTCGAGGACAACTCAGGGCTTGCAAAGCCAAACGAGCGAAGTGCAACATTTTGGAGGCGGAGTTTTACACTCACACATACACACACACACATATGTGTGTGTGTGTGTGTGTGTGTGTGTTGTGTGTACTTCGTGTATGGGCCACAACTGACCATCCATCACATTTTTCTCTCTAAGACCCTGTTCTATTCCGGAGAGATCGTGTGGAATTTTGCGAGTCATCCTTTCCGGCTGTATCCCGTGGTTAAGACAAAGTTGTTCGCCTCAAACATCAATTAGGGAGATAGGCTACTATTATTATTATTATTATTATTATTATTATTATTATTATTATTATTATTATTATTATTATTATTGTTATTGTTATTGTTATAGGGGACTGATGAGGGGTGAAGGACTAGGATGAGGATGATGATGGTAGGAGGTGCTAGATGGGGTAGTGGGAGGTGATAGGTGAGGCTTTTGGAACCACCTCAGCATTCGCCTTGTGTCCGAGAGAAACCGCGAAAACCCCGGTCAGAATGACCGGCCCGGGGATCGAACTCGGACGTATTTTGCCCCTGCGATTGTAAAATATCGGCCGCAATCATTACTTGATCACGCAGAAGTAAATCAAATTTCTCGAAGATAATGTAGCGAATGCATGCCCAAATTTGAGGGAGAACGATTTAACAAAGGGCACATGATAGCCATGGCCGAACCAGGTCATAAAACAAACCCATATTTGCGAGAAAGTCTTCCGTCTATTAGAATTATGCACAGCGTAGCTTAAACGCGAAAAAATAATCACGTGACCAGTTGTGTGTGATGTGTAAAACACTGCAATAGCGCAGCATTGCGGGATCTACTCGTATTATCTAAATCGGTGCTAATACTCGAGTAAAAGTGCGACGTTCCACGCACCTTCGAAGTAGTTGTAACTTCAACCTCGAGATGGTTCTGGTTGTATGTCAAGAATACTAATTCATTCAGTTTGTATTGACTGCTCGAAAAAACACTTTTGCTCTTAGCTCCCTTGGCTTTGCAAGGCCTCAATTGAGGAGCACTGTCCTCGAAATATTATAGCAGCTTTTTTTGCTGCCGAATTCCGGAGCAGTGCTTAACTAGCTGTACAATCGATCACGGCTTAGTTCTCACAAAACATACTTTAAACGAAAGTAAAATATCTGTTCAAGATAATTAGAAAAAGATTACCTTTTGACGACTTAATGATTGAACAAAATATGTGTAAATTAATACAAGCTCTTATGGAAAATCTTTGTTTTTCATAAGTATGTTAAGTTGTTGAACTTATTCCTTTTTAGGTTATTCAATTCAAAGTAAATATTTTGAGGTATCAAATGATCACAAATGTATCAAATACATCATGAAATATACCATAATTTACCATTCTGATAAAAGAAATTTCTGAGACATTTATCACAACCGAAAGTACTAGCTCAAGACCCACGCCATGACCCACGACATGAAAATACATTGACATTATGCTGTTGCGTTTTTATATATAAATATTTTAGATATAAATATTTTTATATAAATATTTTTTAAATGAATATTTTTTAAATGAATATTTTTTAAATGAATATTTTTTATATGAATATTTTTTATATGAATATTTTTTATATGAATATTTTTTATATGAATATTTTTTATATAAATATTTTTTATATAAATATTTTTTATATAAATATTTTTTATATAAATATTTTATATATAAATATTTATAGAAATGTAGGATTTTTCTTCCTTGGGGTGAATATTTACTTCAATTATATCACCCCGAAAAGTAAGGTAGATTATCTTATGTTCGCACTAAAATATATATTTTCATTCCAGGCACGTATCTCATGTAATTTTATCAAGAAATATTTATTAACGGAACGAAATATTGTTCAATTTAATTGCATATGAAAATGCATGTCTCAGAATTTTTCAATCATAAATGCATACTTTTCGAAACATATTAAAGCTATTGTAGGGCATAAAAATGCTCTCCCTACTCATCAGGAAGAAGAAAAGCCAAACAACACGCGTAATATTGCATTTTCTACCACTACTCTCGTCCATTCCCAGGACATCGCCATGACTTGGTGTTCCATCTTCATAACCTCCCCTGCCAATGATGTAAAAGACCCCCCGACAAGCGACCGAGATTTGGATGCAGCCATCAAACGAGCCACGAAAGCTTTTTCCAGCACTAACGCGTTTCGCGATAAAGGAAATGAAAACCTCTCGTAAACAACCCACTCTCGGGCATTTTCAAGCTAACTTGACTGTTCGTTTTAACTTCACTCTGCATGTAAACGAATGCACGTTGCTGTCGCTCGTTCGTATTTGCTGACGGATAGTGGACGTCTTTTCAGGCTGTCGGGTGCTATACTAGTTGGTCTGCTTTATGAATTGATTTCTTTTAACACGCCGTGCGCGAAACGCGGTTTCTCGTGCTTGTTTTTCGTGTGAGAAACGGCTAATTTTTTCACAGCCGATGTCGGAAGGCCTTATTTGTCTTTGCCTTCGGGTCACTGATGTACTTTCTGTTGCAGATAGTAAAAGATACCTGTAGAGATAAACATTACGCATTATTTTTATTGATTGAATTTAATTGATGCCTTATTTTACGTGGCGAGACTCGGGCCATAAGGCCCACCCCTCCGTCTGACCACGTTACGTTTCTTTTACCAACTAGCGGAGAAAGAAGGTATTTCTTGGGCGACGAACATGCGATTTGAATTTAGTTCAGAGGCGTCATTTAGGCTTGAGGATCTATTACATGGAAGTAGATCTACCAACATGGGACAGCTGGCTTTAATTTCCGTCCGAAGGAAGGCGTGCGAAGGATTTTTTCGCCCTTAAAAATCCACTTCGATCAGACCCTTAAAAATCTACGGCGTAGATCGGGTTGGAACACGTCAACTTGGGAATAACTGTCCGATACGCTAACCGTTGCAGTATCGACGCCGACCATTGATGGAAATATTTGTTTTATGAGTGGTTTTATGTTTAATAGTGTTTCCGTTTTAATTGTTGTTTGTTCATAAGTGGCAGTTTTGGAAGCAGCAGAGAACAAGCCCACGAGCTGTGCGCCGGTCGACAGGCAAGACCTTGTCGCACGATACACATGGCAGTAGTCGTCCTGACTGCCGGGACTTTGGGACAAGTGCAACGCACATTTCGACCGTTGCCAAAAAACGCTGGGGACAATTTGAGAATGTTCTCTAAAAAAATTGTATTTGGGGCAGCAATGAAGGTGGTGGAGGTGTACCTGAGATGTGTTATTTCACGGCCTTTGAACTTTCTTTCCGATGCTCTCCATTCCGCTGCGAAATTCGGGCTTATCACCCGCCGAGTTTCTTCGTCCTCCGGTGCAGCAGTTGTCATAAGAGGCGACGAAAGTTTCCGCGTTGCTTGTCGCGAAACCAATTCTGCTTGTAATTGCCTATTGCGCAGTTGTTTTCAAACGGATGGCATCGTCCTAGTGAGCGAACATTATTTTGTTCATTAACCACTCGCGAGTTCGGGCGATGTCTCGTGAGGCGTGCAACTCACAATTAGATTTCACTCGGAAACCATCGGGCCGAAATGTGTACTATTAATGTAGGGTATCATGTTTCTCTGCCCTCCGATAACTGTTGTACTCTGTTGCAGGTATTAAAAGACACCTGCAGATAAACGTTACGCATCTTTTGTATGGATGGAAATATTTTTCTTTTTCATGAGTGGTTTTAAGTTTAATAGTGTTTTATTTTAATTGTTGGTCATTCATAAGTATTAAATTTTTTGGTGAAATATTAGTTTGAAGACTAAATAGAAACGCTGTATTGTTTTTCCTTCATTAAATATGTCCATCTTATCAATAAAGGAAAGAAGTAATCACTGGAGACTTGTTATAGACATTATCGTTGAGTCACACGGAAAATATAAATTTTCTACGAATCTCAAAAATGAACACCTAGAGGGCTAGTAAATATTTTTTTTTCAGAAATTAAATAAAAATAGTTCGGAGGTTCACAGTATACAAAAAATGGTGGGACCTATTACATATTTTTTTATTATTTATAAACTCGAAATAGTACACGACATTATCTGCGCGCCCCGCCCCGTTCCGCCTCGCTCCGCCGGGATGCACCGGCCGCCCATGGGCGACAGCTTGGCCGCGCGCCAGCGGCGCCGCCATACGTCGCCCGGGCGATAAGCCCCCTCCCCGCGCCATCATCTAGCGCGCCCAGCAGAAGGAACGCACGAGGCGTGCGCAACGCTTCCGGGACACCATTCCCCAACCCCCCACCCTCACTCCCCACTCACCCCACCCTCACCCCACCCTCCCCCACCTCACTTCCCGGTGCGGTTCTGGGGCGGTCGGCGCGATTCTCCTCGCGCAAACGCCCAGCAACGTGCACCGGCTTGCGAGAGCTAGGGCCGCACGCATGCCTTGCAGCGCCTCTTGCCGGGTGGGCTCCATTTCGTCTCCCCGACGCTGGCTCGAGTTTCGGCAGCATCCTCGTAGATAAGTAGAGTCCAGATGCGAAGTGCAGGAGAACTGTAGCGGCCGGCTGCTCCGATCGGTAGTTTTCCGTGGTTTCTCCGATCATCACCAGGCGAATGCCGGAGCAGTACACTAACAAACGGGCCACGGACCTTGTCATATCCTCAACCCTTTCTTACACACTTACATAGGT